TCAAAAGGAATGTAAAAATTAGGGCAAATTTAATGTTTGTCCTCTGATGGAATACTAATAATTCCTGCAGGGATAGTTTATATGTCTTCTATAATAATTTCATTTTTTCAGTATCAGAGATCAAAAATCATTTTTATACTGTGATGCTGATAACACCAAGGTCAAGGGTATTCCTACCAGCCAGCTGCCAAAAAAATTTTTTTTTTTATATAATTGGGTTTTTCAGAAATTTAGGGATAAGACATTCATTTTAAATTATGCATACTTTCAAATAAAATGCTCTTGGATTCATGAAACTTTACTCCATGTATAGAAACATGTATGTATGAGTGTATGCATGAATATATATGTATGTGTGTGTATATGATAAAATGAGCTATTCTTACCTGCAGCATTGTTATTTAACACATCCAGTGTTATTTTAACTCTACATTCCAAATTTTTATTACCTAAAGTAAAATGTAGATAATTTCATATGTTATGATTTCATGCTTACAACAGATCTTTAGAATAAACCCAAACAGGAAAAATAGTATTTTAATTTTCACTGCTGCTTTATTCTGGTGGTTTTAACAGCAATAAGTATAAATTAGTGTATTTATATAATGTATGATTTTAAATATAAATATGTAACCAAATTAGTAAATTCAGTGTTATAAGCAGGAAAAATAGCAGCCTAATATTATATTCTGCTTTTTTCTAATGATTATAACAGTACTTTCTACCAGTGTTTTTAAAATCATTCTCGCTATCTTAATGTGGCATTCAGTAGTTCTCTACTTATTCTAAAAAGGAAAAAAAAAAAAACCTAAATTGCATAAAAATTTTCTTAGACTATAAAAAATTCTGTGTAGGTACTGGTAATTCCCTGTCTGTTTTTAGAAGGAAGAGCCAGGGGCCAAGACTCAGCCACTCAATCCCTGCATTTAGGCCATTTATTTAATTTTATGGTGCTTAGCTTCTTCCCTTTTCTGAATTAGAGCTTACTGAAAATATATAGACAGGAATAAGGAAATTAAATTTGAAAGGAGAAAGTATTAGTAGAGATAAAAGAGTAGAAAGCTACACATTTACTCACACGTGCTGGGAAACAGTACTTAGTTAAAAAATTTTTTAATAAAAGTAATGTGATATGGCCTGGAGAGCCATAATGAAGCTGTTCAAATAGAT